AATATATTAATTTATATTAATTTATTACTTAAATATTTATGAAAAGTTTTATTTGTTACTATTATTTCTTTAATTTATTGCTAAGCATTTGATGTCTTAAAATCAGTTTTTATTCTAATTTATATTCAAAACAAAGATAATAATTTGTATTAAATATAAATATTATAATTATCATTGAATGACTAGATTTGGCCTAATTATAATTAATATTAAAATTTAGTTGCTATGTATACAAAACTAACTTTACATTATTTGTGTATTAATACTGTAATATTATTAATGCTTAGCACAATCAAATAAAATGTAACACATTTTATATAATATAAAATATAATGTATATTTTATGCATTATTTTTTTATCTATTTTTTTAATTTAGTGTTATTTAAAAAATATTTTTATAGTTTTATTATTAATATTAGTATTATTTTATATTTATTATTCATAATGTCAGATATCCATATAATATCTGTAAATTTTCTAAACAATGCATGTTTTACAGATATTTATGAAAAAAATTCAAAATTGTAGTATTAATAATTTATGTTGTTTAGAAATTAAATTAAAACATAATTTTTTTCAAAATTAAAATTAAAAATTTTATTTAACCTTTCAAATCAGACGTTATATTTAGTTTATTAATTTTTTATTTCTTAGCTTATATGTCATAAATTTATTGTAAAAATTACTTACATATTTTTGAATTGTGTATTTAAGGTTAAATTTTTATTAAACCTTAAAATTTATAATATATTGAATATTATATATATTAATTTTCAAGAATTTAATACTGTTGTTATTTTAATTAATTATGTTGTTGTTTTTAATAAATTTTTGTTGTTATATAAAAAATATATTGTTTATATAAAAAACAAAAAATTTATAAAATATATTTTGCTGAAATTTAATAAATATTAATTGCCATATAAATGCCATATCTTAACTATATTAGTTTTGCAAAATCTATTAATTAAAATTTATTTTGTAAATTTTTATAAAATAGATTTAAAAAATTATATTTTATTTAATTAAATTTGTCTATTATTTTTACTTATTTATTGATCCAAATAACATTCATCTATGTTTGAGATTTTAATGCTATGTATTTTTTAAATACAAATATTTTGATTACTATTTTTTCTGTTAAGTTATTAGGTTTTAATATACTTTTTTGAAGTCAAATTTATGTTGACAACTATATAAATTATTTTCCTAAATGTCTATTAAATGCAATACATATAAATAGAAAAAATTTATATTTTTTATTATCGCTGATATAAAATACTGTAGACATGTCATTGAAATAAATTATACTTTAAAATATACTTTATTATCTAACTTGATTATACTATAGTATAATTATATTGTTGTTAAAGTATTAATATTATTATACGAAATTTTATTTTTTTATATATACAAACAGTATATGCTGTCAAATAATTATTTTAAAGCTTATTTCAATGTTATTCACAAGTGTATCACAAGAGAGTGCTTTTATTTATTATTAGAGTACAGTAAAAGTGTTAGAAGTAGTATTAAATAGATAAATGAAAAACATGTATTAAACATTTATGTGGCAATTGTGTATATGTGTGTATGTGTGTGTATGTGTGTGTATGTGTGTGTATGTGTGTGTATGTGTGTGTATGTGTGTGTATGTGTGTGTATGTGTGTGTATGTGTGTGTATGTGTGTGTATGTGTGTGTATGTGTGTGTATGTGTGTGTATGTGTGTGTATGTGTGTGTATGTGTGTGTGTGTGTGTGTGTGTGTGTGTGTGTGTGTGTCTGTGTGTGTATGTGTGTGTATGTGTGTGTATGTGTGTGTATGTGTGTGTATGTGTGTGTATGTGTGTGTATGTGTGTGTATGTGTGTGTATGTGTATGTGATATATATATAAAGATATAGAGTGAGAGAGAGAGAGACTGTATTTGACATTTTGTTTATAGTTTTTAACTATAAGTTTAAAAATCTAAAGCAAAACCAAAAATTAAAAAAAACAAAGTACTCTATTTAATGATTGAAAACTTTAGTAAATTTAACCAGGCAAATATTATTAAGCTTCTAATATAAAAGTATATTGATCATAAATGTTTATTTTTTGGTAAATATTATTTGATCCAGGTTAGTCATAAACTTCAAAACAAATAAAGATTTAATATATTATTTTGTGAGTGAGGTAATTGCTTTTATTATCATTATTATTATTATACAGTATTATACTATTTTATTGATAACATGTTTAGGCTTTTTCCAGTTGATAAACAATATTATTGCAATATAAAGCAATAATAATTATTATAATAATAACCAGAAAACAAATTGAGAAATTGTACTCTAATTTCTTTATATAATATTATATATATGATTACCAATGATTAGTAACGAAATGCTTCTAACAGTTTATTATCACATTTTAAAAGAATAATAAAATATTATTATTATTATTAAGTAATTAAACAAATTAAATTAAATAATAAAAAACTGTATAATAAATTTTTATAGTAAATATTATAATTAATTATAATTAAAAAATATAAATTTGCTATTTTTAATTTATTGCAAATGATGACTCTGGTCATCCTATATATACCGGTATATAATGTAACAGATGTATGATAAATATACAATATTTATCTAAGCAAACATACAATTACATAAAATAACATATTTTAATATGATTTGCTATATTGTATAGTATTGTACGATATATACTGTATAATATGATTTGACGGATGAAAAATTACAATACATTTATTATTGAATCAGACATACGATATATATCTCTTTAGTTTTAACTAATTATTCAGTGATGAAGAGCTAGAATCGTAATAATTATTATTATATTAAATAAAAATAGTATTTATAAATATCAATGAAATTTAATGTATGAATATATTGTACATAAATAATCATAACAAATTAAATTATAAAATATGCAAATTATTAGATTATAATTTATGTTTGATATTGAATAATAATAATAATAATAATAATAATAATAATACATTGTATATTAATTGAATTTTATAAATATAGTTGTAATAATACTAATGATACGAAAGTGACGTGTTTTACTGTTGATAAAATATATTTCATGTAATTTTAAAAATGCAAAACTTTAATTTGTAAATTTGAGATAATTGAGATACATAAATTAATATTTTAACAGTAAAATAGAAACATAGTTTAGCAGTTAGAAATTTATATATTTATATAAACAAATTGCATTAGATTTCGACATTTTTTTCAGTAAAACAAAATTCCCAAATCTCCTAACCATACCTAACATTTGAGACAACTGTGTAATACTGATACCTATGGCATATGATATGATATATATATTTTATTGAGTATTATAACTATATTTTTGTTATAAACCACAGGTGAAAACATAAAAAAATTATTTAAAAATATGTTTGTATTTTATATGTATATAATTTTTCTGTGTATTTAATATTTACGATATAACCACAATAAAAAATTTGATTTCTTTATTTATTTTGATTAAACACTACAATATATATTTTTTAAATTTATTTTATTATTTATTGATGAGTTTACTAGTTATTTATATACAATATTTAAATGATTTATAAGATATACGATAAGTTAGTTTTCTAAATTCTTATATAAATTGAATGAAACTGTCTATAAAACATTTAAAACATGTATTAAACATTTTAGACGTTGATTTTTTTGACACAATTAATATATTGTAGTTTATATTAAAACATCAGATACACACACATAATATTATGTAAATTTCACTAAGTTTTAATATATAAAAAATCTATTTATATAATATATGTGTCTAAATTTAATTAAAATATACTTAAAATACTATATAGTATATTCACTGATGTATTGTATGTGAGTATAGTAGAGTAAATAAAAAAAATCATGCAATTATTAAATGCATTTACCTGCTATAGAACTTAATAGAAATTTTAATGATAATAAATATTGATATCCCAATTTTTTTTGTAACCAAACTAAACTATAGTTATTGTATATTTATTATTAAATTTTATATTACAATAATAAAAGTAAGCCATATAATTTATTATTATTATTATTATTATTATTATTATTATTAAAACTTACGACAATGACAATGTCTGACATACAATTGTTATACAGTATATATATAATATTCAATATATTATTTTAGTCTAGAATTTGTAGATTACATTAAAAGTTAATGCTTATCTATGTGTGTATGAAAGTGCCGGTGCTCTGGCATATGCCAGTAGTTTGGTGTCGATATTACAAATCACAGACATCTCAATGGCTGAACATTTATATGGCTTACAAGCAATGCCATTGAAACTAATGGCACATCGTTATCATTACTAAAGTATGTTTGTAAGAGAGAGAGAGAGAGAGAGAGAGAGAGAGAGAGAGAGAGAGAGAGAGAGAGAGAGAGAGAGAGAGAGAGTACAAAAAAAGAGAATATTAGTAAAGGCATACATTCTGTATATAAATGCATAAAATTATTGTCAAACAAGAAAACCATAATATAGTCGAAGAAAGTTGTTGTCTTATTATTGCTTTATATTGTTTTGTTGGATAAATCGGAAATAATTTGATTGATGTTTGTTATATAAAATATGTTCAGTAAAATAAATAGTCTATTAAAAACTAAATATATTCTACTTAATATTGAATTATATAAATTACTATAATTATGGATTGTCTGATCAAATGTTTATTATGTCAAAAATAGATAAATTTATAAAATCATAATAAAATATAATAATATACCTTTTATATTAAAATAAAATTTTTAGATTATTTTAATTATACATTATAATCATATATTATAATATATAATTTTTGATTGCATTTTAATATTTATTAAGTGTTAATTTTAAATTTAATAATAATTATTATATTAATTTTTGTCTTACAGAATAATATGAATATTACTAAATATACAATTTTTGACAGTTTTAATACAAAGTATAAAATATTTACTTTACAATTATATTAAATTACAGGTAGTATTGAAGCTAAACGTCGACAGCGACACAAAAGACGCCGCATCCTAATGCTGGTCCTCGTTGTCGCCATATTTGCCATTTGCTGGTAAGGGTATAGCTGTTTGTTAATTAAGTCCTATTATTTAATGATTAAAAAAACATATAAATTAATAGATAGATATTTATTCAATTGTATCACACAATTAACATTTATTTATTTTTCTATAATTTAACAGAATTGTAAAATAAAATATTTTAGTCAACAAATGTTCACTTATTTATTATTATTTAATAATAGTATTAAATATGAATTTTTATTTTTTTTATTGTATTTATTCATTTTTATCGATAATAATTAATTTTTTAATTAATTTTAGGCTTCCGTTAAATATTTATCATTTACTAATGGACTTGCATTTGGCACCACATAATTACAAGATATTCATAATGGTATCAATGATTTAATTAATTAATTAATTATTCTAGATCTTAATTAATTTAATGAATTAAATTATATGAAATTTGATTTAATTATTAGAAATATCATTAATTGCATCAAACTGTTTGAAATATATTTTTTCTTATATAATATTAATTTGATTTGTAAATATTTAATAAGTCAACTAACTATATTGTTTATTGAACATTATAATAATAACGCTATTCCTTAATTATTTAGTTCAAAATAATTTATATATATAAAGCTATAAATTATAACCTATAATAATATTAATATAGACCATAGATATTGTATAGTGTTTTTTAGCATCATTAACTAAATGAGATACTTATATAAAATTTATATATATACAGTTAAACATATATTTATTTAACTAATTAACATTGTAGTCTTTTATATTAATATATTTGTTTTTTAACTTATATATTTTATATGCTTATTAGTTTTATTAATATTTATATTTTTCCTACAATTTAACTTATTAAATATTGAAATAATTTAGAAAAAACTATTATTAAATTAAGCATAATAATAATTATTAAAAATTGTTAATTAAAAGTAAATATTTTTCTAAAATCTTAGTGCCATTGGTTTGCTATGTCATCCGTTTGGTACGTATACACCATTAATCACTAATATTTTTTTGTATTATTTTATTATAACATTTTGATTGACATTACATTACAAACATACTTGACTTATCATTAAAAAAAGCTTTGGTATTATTTTAATTAATTTGTTGCATATTTTATTTCTCTCACTCGTAAACCCACACAAAAACAAACTGTAATTAATACTTCGGGTGTCGTATACTACTACCCACTACTACTACTACTACTACTACTACTACTACTACTACTACTACTACTACTACTACTACAGCTATAACCCATTTATCTACTGTTGGTTGAATAAGCCATTCAGAAAAGGTGCCAAATTGATACTGTCGTACCTGATGTGCCGGTGCCCGCCGCCAGTTACTGACCGATTGTATAACAACAATCATACCGTAGAGGTTGATGCCATTACCAGACAAACACTTGAACTCAATATACTTACAGCTATAACACCGGTCGATAATAATGACAACAATGACAACAACAATATTGTATCGTTTTAGGACATCATTGCTATTATGAAGATAAACTAATTGGAAATAAAGTTATTATATTGTAAATTAAATAAACTATAATAATTTATTTTAAATATTACAATTCTATAGCTTACAATTATAACAAATTTTGTTTTAATTTAGAAATATTAATTTTTTAATATATATATAAATTATTTATTAATAATTATTTTTAAAAAAATAAATTAATTATTGTTTTATATTTAGTCTATAGTTTAAATGAAGTTTTAAAAGATTTAATATTTGTATTATAAATTTTAATTATTGTGAATTTATAAAAAATTAATATCTATACAGATAATTAACTGTGGATTTTTTAATACTTAAAACATTATTACAGTATTATAAATATACAGTACTGTACAATATTATTAAATTTTTAATTGATGTACTAATATCTTATAAATATGATGGACGTTATGTTTTTTTTAAAAAATCTATTGAAAATTTAATATTAATATTGTTATAAGTTGATATAATTAATAATAAATGTTTTTTTTTATTATTTTTCATAAAATTAATTAAAATAATTGTAAATTAATGTATGTGATTCTTATAAAAAAATTATATTCTTTATTATTTTTTGTAAATTGTAAATATGTTATTTTTAATTTTGACAAAAAAAATATTGTAATTAATTAATAAAAAATAATGTTAAAATTGCTAATTTGTATAATTTAAAAAAATTTAATTAGAAATATATATTGTTATTATAAATTGAATAATATACAATTAATTTTAACATTTATAAGCATAATAAACTATGAAAATCAATATTAATGTCTAATCATTTACAAATATGATATATATAAAATATACAGTATCCGCTATTATCTAACCTAATATAACATTTGTCCAGTAAATACTGTAAATGAAAATCTATATAAAAATAATATAAATTTTTAAAATTATAAAATACATGTATTCAGGGTTTTAAGGAAATAAATGCCTGCCCTGGCAATGCCCAAATAGATGTCATAAATGCCTGGCATTTTTGGCATCTATTTTATTTGCCTGCCATTTTAACAACTGTATTTATAAAAATAATATAATTTAGCGTTTTTAGCGTGTTAATTAAATTTACAATTTTATACTTATTTCCAATGATATTACCTTTTAATTGAAGCAAAACAAAAATACAAACATATATATTGATAAAACAATGTTTTATAAATTAATTAATATAAAATTAAAATAATAGGTGTCACCAACTGAAAATAGATCCCCAGGGCATGGCAAAGGCAGGGCAGGCATTTTGTAAAATTGACATCTTTTGTTTATGCCTGCCATTTTTAAAACCCTGCATTGTGTAATATATCAAAATTTTACAGTTTAAATATGATTATAGATATTTGGCCTATTTTTTATTGAATTATATATAGATATATATAATCTATACATAAACATATACAGTATAGTATTATATATATATATTATTAAAATTTATATATTTCTCGAAGCTATCTATTATTTTTATGTTGACTGACCTCTCGATGCTTATTGTAATCATCAATAAAGAGATGTCAACAATACATATAACATTTATTACAGTAAAAAACACTGAGTAGTAGTGGTGTCTGTAAACAAATAACTAAAACTATTATATAATATCATAAAAATATATAGACATCAACACGTCTACCGTTATTATTATTATTATTATTATTATTTTATATGTTATGTGTTTTTTCAGCAATACTCGACATCTACACTGACAAATCTCCGGTGACTTATAATAGATATATAAAAATACATATATATTCTGTATATATATATACACTGTTATTGTATATATAAAAAAAAATAGTTTTCATATCTATCATCTTATGAAAAACTACTATTTTAAGAGATGAACTCTTATTTTAGTTATATATAATATATATAGTATACAAAGTTATATACTTTATATAGTTTATCAAAATTTCTCTCTATTAATGCCCAGAATTTTGATCCCAACTATATTTTTTTATCAATGACTGCGTCAATAGTTATTTGATTTATAAAAAATATATATTTATATAATAATATACTGTATATAATAAATGATTAATATTTATATTTCTATAAAGAAAATTCTATTATTGAATTGAATCAGTAATTGTTTAGTAATAAATAAGTAAATTTAGTAAATTATTTTTTTTCGGATAAAATGTAATAGTTTTAAATATTTGACGGACAAACACAAGTCATTGATCCTAAAGTTTGAATCGGAATTCAAGAAATATTTTTATACAATTTTTACACTATATTTCAATATACTTATAATATAAGGATTTGAAAAGACATTTATTATAAATGTAAGTCTCTTTTGTCGTTGAATTTAGTAAACAGTATTATGTGATGACATTGACGTCGATATGTTTACCCAAAAGCCTAGTCAGTGAATGAAGAGTGCAATTAAATTTTGTGGGAAAAAGTGGGTTATTTGGACATAAAGTACTGTATTATTTATATCAAAAATCTCAAACTTATATACACTTCAATAAATACAATGCTATTTGTCATTCAATAAGATACTTGATCTCTCTCTCTCTCTCTCTCTCTCTCTCTCTTAACTTATCAATATTTACTTAAGGAAAATGTCATACTATTTAGACTAAACTAAAGTTAATAAGTTATTATATATAATTAATCTATTGTAAATATCTGCAAATATAATTTTTTTATATATTTTATACATTGTTTTATATCAAATGTACATAATCATTTAAATTGCATAATTTTTTTAATTAATTATTAATTTGTTTTTTACCTGTTAGAAAGAATGTAATTTTGTTAAATAATTGATAATTTTTTATAACTACAAAATTTTATTTAATACATTACTTTTATTAAATAAAAAAGTATATTTACTAAACTTTAGTATCTTTAATAATGTATTTGTAATGTAAAATATATTTTGATAAATCACATATAATATTTAATATTATTAGTTAGGCATTTAGTATTTAAGCTACATTAATTTTTACATTAATAATACATATATTTTTTATTTATATACATTTAGTAGTTTAAGTTGTATTTCAAATTTAATGAAAACATTTTGTTAAAAGATATTTATAAAAATATATAATATTTGAAAGCAATAATTGATTAAATTAAATAACATTATAAATGTTTAAATTGTCTAATGTTGCTTAAAATACATTATATTATTTTTTATTTTATTTATTGTGATATTTAAGTTGTTATTTGTTTATAATCGAAATTTCGATTTAAAAGTGCAAACAAAACACTCGATGAGAAAGTAGTTGTCATCTTATAGTTAAAGTATATCATATATTGATATTTAAATATTATATATAATATATAACTATATTTTATAAATATATATATATATATAAAATATCTGAAATGTCAAAATCAATAGAAAATATTTAAATACATTTGTTTTCTGTTGTTGTTATAGATGTGATAAAACAAATTGAATTGATTTTTTCAATTTCACATTATTTATTAAAATTTATTGCTTATAACACATAAAAATTTTGTTTTTTTTTTGTTACTATGAATAGTTATTTTGTGCTAACATTTTTTTTATTTATTACTCAAAATGTTTATTTACCATCTAATTTATTATGTAAATTAATAATGATTAAATAAGTTAGATAATAATTACATTTATAAACATTAGTATTGAGAAACATAAAATATATAATTATCATAATTTACAATAATTTACAATAATTATAGTAAAATATTTTAAACATGTATTATTAGTCTTTGTAAATATAGATGTTATAAAACAATAATTTCATAATAAGTATAAATAATTATTTTTAACTATATTTTTGAAATTATAGTATATAATATAAATATATTATTATCTTATTAATAAAATTTTCTATTAAAACTTTATCTAATTAAGTAAAGTTTTTTTACTCGTTTATCATTTTTAATCTTTTTTTTAATAAATTAGAAAATACTTATTTAAAATTTACAATTATAATGATTATTATTTATATTCTATTACAAAATTAAAATTATGATTTTTTATGATTACATATAAAATTTATATTATCAGTAATAATTTTTATAAACAATATTAATATAAAAACTATAATTTTTTAATAATTAGTAAAGATATATTAAAATGCCTAGAATTTAAAAGTCTAATTATTATATTAAATGCGTACAAATTATATATTAATAGATTTTAAAAAATAAAAAAAAACTCAAAAACATAAATAGTAATTTAGTTGCATAAACGACTGTTATATAATATTTTTACTATGAAATTCATTGTTATTCATTAAATTGTAAGCATATTTTCTAATATGACATTTATTAATATAATAATACAATTTAATTTAAAATGTAATATATTAGAGTAAAGTGTTTTTCTAAATAACATAAAAATATTATTGAAAAAATCAAAATAAATATTTATTTCACAAAAACTTGCAGTATTTGTCTAAACAAAAAATATTTTTTTTTGTATTATTTGATAAAATTTTGGTTATAAATATTGACGATTAGTTTACTTTATATAGTCTTTTATTTATAATATATATATATAAATGAACCATGCTCATTATATCCAATAATCATGGTCAATATACTTATTATACACCTAAATAATTTATTGAAGCCATAGATTCTGATATATTGTGTAATTTTATTTTCTATTGATATTGTTATCATAACAACTATATATTTTTCTATTTCACAATAACTGTAAACAGTTTGATGATATTTATAACAACAACAACAAAATTACATTTAACAAATAATTTTGTAATTATATAGTATGGCTTATTTTATATGACTAATGTTAAATATAACCTGAAAATAATAAAAATAAATAAAATTTAATGTTTATTTATACATGTGTGAGCTACTAATTTTTATGGTGATGCCAATTACCTGGAAATTTTCAATATACTAATGTTATTTGACATTTTTAAATATAAAAATAGGCTAAAATACTCTATTATTAATATGCATATATAATAATAATATTATTATTATGTTACAGTAATAATAATAGAAATATTAATATTGAAAATTGTTTATTGGTATTCATTATTTATTTATTAAAATTGTATACAAACATAAAAAATTGATAACAAAAAAAACAACACATAATAGTAATAGTAATCTCTTATATTCTTTTAAGATAACAACTAATCAATCAAACAATAGACATGAGTTTCTTCTTTATTCATGAGTTTTATATACAAAATATGTGTGTCTATAGTGTATATACAATACAATGCATTCATTCATTCATTCATTCATTGTATGTTTAGTTACTATTTTCATCATTTGTTTATTGATTTGAATATATAGTTTTTCTTTCAAAAATAAAACTCAAACAAACAAAAATAGGAAAATCTTTTTATTTTATATATAATTTTTTTCAATCATTTGATTTTGTTTTTTTATACTAATAGCACACTGACTCGCATTAATCATAAGTGAATTTATTTATTTTTATACTAAGTTCGTATTAATATTTAAATAATAATTTTACTGAATTTTGTTTTTTTTAATAAAAAAATATAATTTAATTTGCTAAAGTAGAAATATTATAAATAAAACTCTAAATATTATTTACATTATCAGCTCAAAGTTTTAATGTTTTATAAAACTAAATTTTTAATAATAATTACCTCAAATTCATTAAAAATATTAGACTTAGATTATATTTTGTACAAAACTTGAAGTTTTAAAAAAATATTATTAGTAGTAATTTTTATCAGTAAAATAAAAATTTACGAATGTACTAGGTGACATCTATCTTCTAAAATACATATTTATTTATTATCGAATTATAATTTAAAATTGTGTAAATCAAATAAAATTTTATTTATTTTAGTTTTGTTTATTAAATAATTATAATATAAATTAATATTTATTATAATTAATATTTAATTATTTTAAATAGTTTTCTATTCTTATTAAATAGTATTATTGTTATATTAATTGTTAAAGTTATGAGTTATAAATTAATCTATTATCATAGATATTCAATAATTTTATAGAAATTAATTATTTTTTAATTATTTATACTTTATATTATACGATATATTATGGTTATAATTTCACTATTATGTATATACTATCGTTACAAATACAGTATGAGAACAATAAATAGATAATATTTGTTTAAAATAAATGTCAAATTACAAAATATCAAACATTTTTAATAGATTTGTAATAAATTTATCTATTATTTATCATTTTTCAAAGTTCATTAGTAGTAGTATTAGTGATAAATTTGTATATGTATTATGTATTTATAGTTATATTTATTTTATAATAAATGCGATTTCTTTAAAAAATTATTGTCATTCAATATAATTATCATTTAATTTAGTTTCTGATATTTCATTTAAAAATAAAAACATTTATTTTTTAAAAATGAGTTTAAAATTATTTGTTTCAATACTTTTATTATTAACAACATTATTCAATGTGGTCTACAATACAAAAGTTGTTAAATATATTGATTTAAAAGGTAACTTGAAAAATGTGACCCAAAAAGTTGACAATTTGACTGACTGTGCCGTTTGGGCCGTTTATGACCAGAACATCAACACTACCGGTTGGGCTCAGTTAGCCATTCACACGAACGGCTCTCTGGAAGACTCGCAACAGGCCTACTATAGCGGCCTAATTGAGGGCCAATTGACTGCCGATCTCATTGAACTTCACTGGCATAACAATGTTGAACATTATTGCGACAATCAATCCGATTATTGTAGCAAATTGTTTGCATTTGTGGCCAAAAATGTCGATTTTATGAAATCGCAAATTGCAAATCTCGCCAAAACTGACGTCTATTGGCGCCAAATAGAGTTGTCGTTAATACAGATAACGGGTCTCGAAGATGGGTATCGAGAGGCCAGATATAACATAAAACCGAGAGGTGGTGTGCGCCTGGATGTCAACATTACCGGTCTTTATCTGTTAAATCTGTTTGAGGAACTGGATGAACTCGGACAGGCTATTAAAGGCAAATCCAGAACCGACGACTATTTTGATGGCCATTGTTCGGCAATAATTCGGGTATTGCCCGACGGCAGTGACCTATATGTAGCACACAATACTTGGGCCGGTTTTTCAAAGATGTTGCGAATCGTAAAGAACTATAACCTGAACTACAGAAACATATCGGGAACTGCCGTATCGTTTTCAGGATATCCTGGAGTCATATATTCGGTGGACGACTACTATCTGATCAATAGTGGTCTGACAGTGTTGGAGACCACTATTGGCAACTTTAACGATACTTTGTGGTCTCATGTTGTGGCCGACAAAATTGTGTTCGAGTTTATTCGCAATCTGGTGGCCAATCGTATGGCCCGATCGGGCCAAGAGTGGGCAAAAATATTTAGCAAATATAATTCCGGTACATATAATAATCAATTTATGGTTATAGACTACAATCGATTCCAAAAGGGTAAGCCTGTCGACCAATTGGCCAGTGGTGTACTTTGGGTGGTCGAACAGATACCAGGTCTCGTAGAGTCGGCCGATGTTACACATGTGCTACGCGAACAAAACTACTGGCCATCGTATAACGTGCCGTACTTTCAAACTATTTTCGATAACAGCGATTATCCGACTCAAGTGACCAAATACGGCGATTTCTTTACATACAATCGTACGGCCAGAGCTCTGATATTTAAACGTGACGTTAATAAAGTAATAGACATGTCGTCACTGTATAAACTTATGCGATATAATGACTTCCGTAACGATCCGATTTCCCGATGTAACTGTAGTCCTCCATATACTGGCGAATATGCTATCGCAGCCCGAAGTGATCTCAACGATCCTAATGGTCGCTATCCGTTCGGCAGTTTGGCCTTTCGATCGCACGGTGCGATTGACGTCAAAATGACAAACAAAGAAATGTTTGTCAAACTTGAAATGATAGTCAACAGTGGACCCACTTATGACAATCAGCCACCGTTTCAGTGGTCAAACACCCGAATCACTGGTGTCCTGCATAGCGGACAACCCGATAGTTTCCAATTTCCACCGGTTCACGTCCAATGGTCACCGCTAAGTGTTAATGCTATTAACTTTAACAGATGTTATGATAATATTTAGATTTAGTTTAAACCTTAAAATTATTTAATAAATTTTAATTTATTAATAAAACATAATTGTTTCCACTTTATTAAACCAAAATATATAATTAGTATATATTTATTTATAGATATAAATATGTTTTTATAAACAATAATATTTTTATAAAATAAGATTGAAAAAAACTATTTTCTACATAAAATTAATTATTCAAATGGTATTTTGATAAACATTTGAATAATTAATTTTATGTATATAATAGTTTCTACAAGATAAAATAATGTTTTTATTATTAATAGAAATTTACCCTGATTAATGTTTTTAAATATTATAAATTATATTGTATTGTATATTGTAAATTATTAATCATACTAATTAATAGAGATTAACAGACAAAATTATTATATAAATTAAAATAATTATATTTACAATAATATTTTTATATTTGTATATACAGTATATATATAATAAACTTATAAAATTTTTCAATTAATTTCATATAAATTTTTAATATATTATTAGTAATATTAAAATTATATTAGAAATTCATATAAAATTTAAATCAAATGGAAAAAAATAAATCAATAAAAATATCAAAATATCTTACTGTCTAATAACAGTTTATAATTAAAGTTTTATTAACAACAAAATAATTAATAAATATTTTTAGATGTTTTTGTAAATTTCAATCTAAAAACATAAAAATTATGTAATCTGTTTTTGAGTATTTAATGAGTAAACAAAAATAATTAAAATAAAACATTTCAATACAATTAGTTTAGGATTTCAGTTTTTTAAAAAAAATGTTTACATCTTTTTATTATTATTATACTGTCGTTTACAATGAAATAATAATATTGTTATCATTGCTGTCGACAGGCGTTGTAGTGGTCCTTATATTCAGTTCAATGGTTTGTCGAGTGACGGCATCGGCGTCTACCGTATTATTAGTGTCGCCCACTAACCGGTGATGATTGTTATGACTGGTGACAGCGGTAGTTGTAGCTCTACCTCTAGTCACTGCTGACAACGATTGGTCCATTGGAGAGCACCAGCACATCAGGTACGACAGTATCAATTTGGCACCTTTTCTGAATGGCTTATTCAACCAACAGTAGATAAATGGATTATAGCTATTGATTTGATGATCAGCAAAGAGACCGGTAGTTGTATGTCATATGGTTGGGTGTGATGTAAAAAAAAATATTTTTTTTTAGAAATAATAATAATTAATTATTAGTGACAAAATTATCATTAGTCACACATTTTTGTTTGTTTGTTTGCTTGTCAATCAATTTTTATACAGTAAATGTTATATAATAGTTATTTTTTATTAGTGATTAATATGTTATACATACCAAACGGATGACATAGCAAACCAATGGCACTGAAAAATATTTTTGTATAATTAAAAATCAATTTCATAGATAAAAAATAATAATAATAAGTTTTCTTATAAATAAAATTAAAAATTATTTCTTAAAATATTTAATATACAATAAATAATAGTTTCAAAAATAATTATAAATTATTATAATTAATATTATTATTAAATAAAAATATTTTATATAATTAAAAAAACGATAATTTATTGAATATCTAATTATATTTTGAAATTAAATTAATAAAGAATATGAATATTAATAATGTATAATTGTTAGATTTCAATCACTAGTAATAATAAATTTAATTTATTTTTAAAAATATTTTTTTAATACTATTATTTTAAATATTTTGTGCTATTATACTTAATCTAATAAGATACTAATATAAAAAAAATATTTAGTGTACAAATAATATAAAGTATTTTATAAATTTTAGAATAAATAGATGAAAATTTTTATTTATTTTTAATTCATCATATTAGATTATATATATCTTACAATAATACGGCAAATAAATTTAAAACTACATTAAAAGGTTTATATTAAATTTAATGTATTTTAGATTTTATAAAAATAACAAAAATAAATAAATATCAGTTTTTAAAATATATATATAAAAATCAATAATTATTTTATTTTTTTATTTTTAAAGTATAAATATAAATGTATATTTTTTAACCTATGAGTATTAAAATCTTATTTAATATTAATTTTTATTTAAATAAATTTATTAATATTTTGTTGTAATTATTTTCAGTTTAAATCTCTATTTACAATACATAATTTAATAAATTGGTTTTAGTTTTAAATATTATAGATTTTAATCTTTAAAAATAATATTATATTTTGTTAATAAATTGAATTTGTTAATATTAATAAATCTTTTTGAAGTTAATCTACAAAAATACTAAGAATAAACTAATAATCAGAAAATTGTTTTTAAGATTTATAATAAATATTTTTTGTTTTCTTAGTTTTTAATACATAATAAGTGAATAATAAAAGTTTGTTTGCAATTAATTATCTCTAAAATAATGTAAATATTTTCTTTATTTTCTAATGTTTTATAATCTAACAATGTTTTGTTAAACATGTTTTTAATAATAATTTTAACTTTTATAATAATTTAGTATTTTATATATTATTTTTTGAATATTGTAGTTTAATTATGATAATAATAATGTTGAAAAGTTTGATATTTAAATTATATTTTAGTAAAGCATAAAATTTATAATACTATTCAAAAAATAAAAACAAAATAAAACTTTGATGTACTGTAATATATAAAAATAAATTTTCATATATTTAAAAATTTTATAAGAATTTTATATATTTAAAAAATAATTTTACTTTAATATAAAGTATTTTGTATTATAATTGTCTGATAAAAATTAATTTATTGAAACTGTTTACTACAGGTATAAAAATACAATTGATATTATAATTTATTGATACTATTTGGGTGTCAGACAATTATTGTTAAATGTCAAACGATTAAATTAAACAAAATAAAAATAAATACAATACAACAACAAAAAATTGATCTAGATAAATCTTTTAGAAAATATCAAGTAAAATACCATGATAAATATCTTGTAATTATAAGCCGCCAAATGTGAATCCATCAGTAAATGATATATATTTAAGGGAAGCCTAAAATCAAAGAAAAAAGAGTAATATATATATAAATTATATCAATACTGTAAAAGTAATACTTTATAGTTATAAATACAGTAACAATATTATACGTATAGGAGAATCGCACAAAAATAAAATTGTTAGTTTTAACAGATAATCCCATTGTATTTATTTTTTTGACCAAAAACAACTCACATAAACAACCACTGTATGTATGGTGTGTGTGTGTGTGTGTGTGTGTGTGTGTGTGTGTGTGTGTGTGTGTGTGTGTGTGTGTGTGTGTGTGTGTGTGTGTGTGTGTGTGATTGAGAACCGGTATTTATTTTATTGGACACTAACTTATTTATCATTTTGAAGATAGTTTATACTAAACACTGATTCAGAAATTGTTTGACTTTTTTCTTTGCTGTAATTTAGGGATAAAAACTGCATTAAAACACAGAGATTAAGTGTGTTTTAATACTAATGAGTTTTAATAGGTATGTCTTTTATAATTTTGGGTCAAATTAATTATTCAATGATAAAAATAGGATACAATAGCTAACAAACGGCTAAATCCTTACCAGCAAATGGCAAATATGGCGACAACGAGGACCAGCATTAGGATGCGGCGTCTTTTGTGGCGCTGTCGACGTTTAGCTTCAATACTACCTATTATTTTAATTAACAATAATAGTATTAACAGTATTTACAATACAAATATTAATTAAATTTTAGTAATTATTATTAGATTATGCTTTAAGCTAATTATAAATTTTAAAATTGACGTTTAAGTCCATTATTGAATAATAAATGTATATATAATATAAATTTAAGGACTCTATTGAACATTTTATTACTTTGGAAAGTGTGTGTATGTTTATCCATATGTATGTATGTATGTGTGTGTGTGTTTGTGTGTAAATATATGTGTATGTACTGTATGTTCATCCTATAGAAATAAGATTTCAATAAACCACTTGAAAGCCATTAAAACATTGATTGAGAGCAACACATAAGCAATAATGGCTTAAATAATACTAATGTTATGAATCTTATAATATAAAAGTAGTGCTTTTACTGACTATTATTGTTTATTTTTATTTATATGGAATCCATTATTAATAAAAACTATCATGGTAGATTTATAGATATTTGTTTGAGATAGACCTTTGTCTAGTTTACTATGTAATGTCTCATTATTTATATATATATATATCTAATATACACTATTTATAGTTATATTTTTATTATGATCATAGTTTTAATACATAAATATATTTATATAATAGTAGCAATAAGTTTGAAAAAAAGCTAAGATTTTAGTATCATTATAAAAATAATAGTAATAATAATATTGCGATAATAATGGCTGTAGGAAATGTCACGGATTTTAATTTATTGCTACTTGACTTATGTATTAATAATTAATTTACACTGAACATATTACTATTTATTTTTGTTTATATAAATAATAATAATACTACTGTACGAATAATAATTATTTAAAAAGCAAAATTTAAATATATATATTTAGTTATCTAATCTAATAAAAACAAATGTTTAATAAATTGTATAAATTGTATTGCTGTAAAAAATTATTTATTATTAATACAAAATAATATACTAATATTATGTAAATAAATATTGTTTTGTTTTTTATCTTTAGTTCATAATAATAGAGTTTAAGAATTCACAATAATTATAGTTATAATCAACTATAAGAAAACTATATGCAAATTAATTTATATTAAGTAAACGTTAATTCAATATACTATTCAATGATCAACTTTTACTTTTATTAAATTATTATATATTAATAAAAAAATTAATGCAATTTACTAAATTAAGCGCTAAGAGAAATGTGAAATAAAGTTAATATTTATTATATATCATCTAATAATTAATATTTATTTATAAGATATGTGTCAGTGATATAAACATCAATATGAGATTATTGACTAAAGTTTCATAAACTAAATATACTGTATTTATTTATAAATTAATATTGGTCCATTAATAATTATATATTAATACTTATAATAATATTATGCAATCCTTATTATAAAATAATGTTTAATATGATATATGAATATTATATTATTTAATGATTGATAACGAATTGATTTATATTACCTAATATACTGTTTTAATAATAAATTTATTGATTAATGTTTATTTTAAATAAAGTAGAGAACTTAACAGTAAATATCATATAGTTATATAAATACTATAACAGGTATAAAAATTATAAATATAAGTATAATTAAATACTTATCGGTAATATAATTATAATAAAATTGTAAATATATATTTATTAATAAAATTGTAAATATATATTTATTAATAAAATTGTAAATATATATTTATTAATAAAATTGTAAATATATATTTATTAATAAAATTGTAAATATATATTAATTAATAAAATTAATAAAATTCATATATATATATTAGTTTTATTATTCATATTAAGATAATGTTAAACTAGCAAACAAAATGTCAATATAAATGATAAACATATGAATACAATAAATAAAATTGTCAATAATTATTATTTAATTACTTTATCTGATGAAATAATTTAACTTCAATTATTTCAATAATAATAATTGTAATTTTTCTTTTTAATAATATTTATTATTAATAATAATTGCATTTCAATATCGACTCTAAGGAAAAGCCAGTCCTATTTAATAGTTAACCCAAAATGTAAGTTAATTGATATCAATTGATTACTTATGTGTTAATGAATTCAAATGTCAAACTATTGGTATCTTAAAAACCTAATGATCACAAATACCAATGTTGTCATCACTAATGGAAATGACATACAAATACATTACTTGATATATATTTATTTATTTATAAATTTTTATATTAATATGAATACAAAAATATTGTCCACAAGGAATGCATTGGCAATGCTTTTCAATTACTGATAAAAAAATTTTTGATGATATTTGTGGTCATTAACTGTCAAAATGTATGACAATTGATTTAATTACATATATATATATCTCATCAAATGTTATGTAATGATATGAATAATATATTGTATGTCATTAGATTAACTAATATAATTTAGGATACAAAAATAATATTATTTTATTTGATTTATTAACTGATAGATAAAAAAAACTTTATTAAAATTAACATAAATGTATTTATATTTTTAGATGTTTTTATTTAGATAATTAATTGCTATTACATAATTAATAATAAAATGTTACTATTATTTATAATATTATATGTCATTTTATATTATGATTGAAAATTAAATATTATTTTTAATTAATTTAAATTAAAAGTAATTTTTTAAAAATAATAAATGAAAAAGACAAATAAACAAATATTTTTTATATAAAATTGAGTGTTTACATAAATAGTATAT